GTGCATCAGACTAGTCACATACTAGTCTGTGGCCCCTTCAGGCAGAATGTAGTCAGGACCAGGGCCTCCCCTGGTGGCGCAGGCAGTTGAGCACAGCGCTGTGAAGCTGTCCACAGCCTCTGCAGTGCCGGTTTGATCCCGGCCTGCCGGTGAGGGTCCCACATGGCCCTGCAGACCTCTCCTGTCTCACCTGCTGCTCCCCTCAGCAGTGTATATTAGTCAGTCTGCCTGTTCTGTTCCCCGCTCTGTCTCTGGTGAATCCTCTCACCCTCCCGCGCATCTAGCCTGTGCCCTGGTTCTTGTAAAAAGAAATAAATCTTTATATAAATAAATAAATAAATAAATAAATAAATAAATAAATAAAAAGTATGTATTCAGGACCAGGAACTAGAGGCTTGAGGGTTTGCGCACATAGCCTCGATATAATGATGTAATCAGAGCACAGCTGAAGAAAGCTGGGCCAGCAGAAGGCAGGTGGTCTGCACTGGAGGCTGAGAGTAGTGGACAGTCAGGCCCAGTTGGTCAGTGGCCTCCAGCTCCCCAGCCTGCTGACTGGGGCCTCATGTTTCTTTTGACCAGCTTTTTTTGGTCTTCCTATTTCCAGGTATTCGTTTTCTTAAGTTATCTTTTTAATACTTAATAGAAATGAGTCATATATTTTTTATTTGTATGTTTCTTGGCTTTTTACCCCTAGGACCCTCTGCCTTCTGACCAAAACAGCATTCGTTCTCAGACACCTGCTTACCAGTTCATCTGGTCTTTAATCGGTTTTGTCTTTCCATCTCTTTTTCTCTAGCTTATAAGTTCTGCTGTCTATGAAAGAAGGACCTATTGGGTTATTTATGAATCTATACTCTTAAGTTTCTTCTTCTCTAGAGAGCTTCATTTTTCCTTTAACTGAGCATAGAGTACCCAGAAGGTTCGAACAGGATGCATTTAGAGAAGGTAGATAATACCAGGGGAAACTTACAAGTCAGGGGTGTGGTCTTTGAAGGGAGAAAGCTCCCAGCCTCATTTTGCTTTGAGAGGGGGGCTCTCAAAATGAGACTCAAGGTCTGTGTGACATGAAATAAGGTACTGTTTCCTATTCAGATATACCTGAAGTCCTTCAACCAGGAGGACAGTTCAAGTAAGCCCAGGTAATAAGCCCATATAGACTGAGTAGAGACAATACTTACACAGATGATAGGACTGCCGATTCCCTCCAGTTGGTGGATGGTGTTTTCAGTTCCTGAAGAGTAAACCTTAGACTGGATTCCATCCCCTCCTGGCTTCAGATATAATCATGACCATTAACAAACAAACATATCTTCCCTTTAGTACAAACCTGACATTTGGATTTGTGGTTGATTTTAGTAAGAGTATGTTATATATAAAAGATTTATTTATTTATTTATACAAGCACTGGGTACAGTCAGAAGCTCGGGGGGTGAGAGAATTCACCAGAGCCAGAGCGGGGAGCAGAACAGGCAGACTGACAAAGTACACTGCTGAGGGGAGCAGCGGGCATGGCAGGAGAGGTCTGTGCGCCATGTGGGACCCTCGCTGGTGGCCAGGGATCAAACTGGCACTGCAGAGGCTGCGGGCAGCTTTTCGCAACCCAGTGCTCAACCGCTGCGCCACTGGGGAGGCCCTAAGAGTATGTTATACATTTTAAGTAACCCATACTTTTAGGAAAATGGTGATGTCATTTCGATGAAGATTTTCTTGCTTTTTAAAACATATCAAAAGCAAATATTTGTTCTTTGTCCATTGTGGCCTCTATGCTATACAAAAGGGAAGAGGCCAGAGATTATCTAGACAAGCATGGTACAAATCAGCAAAGGATAACTAAGAACAGTGATGGGGGCTAACATGTATTAAACCTTTGCTATTGTCCAGACACTATGCTAAGGACTTTACATGCATAATTCTCAAAATCCCATGAGTTAAGTATTGTCATACAGAGAAGTTATGAAGCTTGCCCAATGTCGTACAGCTAGTAAGCAGTAGAACCTATAATCTGAACTTGTGTCTGACTGCAAAGCCCTCATCCTAACTGTGCACTGCTTTTGCACGAATTTAGTACCAAGCATCAGAAGCTCCACTCTTTTCAATGAAGCAACGTTTCAAGAAAGCCCCTTGGAAGTGTCAGAACTCATTTTTAGAAACAAGATTCTGCTAAGACTGTTTAAACTTGTGATAGTATTTTATAAGTTATTTTAAGAGTGTAGTTTTCAAGCCTGCAGATTGCCTTGGAGGACAACATATTTACAGGTTTCTGCCTGAACTGATTATGATCCATGCTATTTGGAGATGTTTCCATTCTATCATTTTGCTGAACACAACTTTGGAAAACTGCAATAATTCAGTAAAATGGTATGATTAGCAACCCCTGCATTTGGTTGCTGTGTATCCCTTTAGTGATTTGGCTTTCAAATTCATAAGAAAAAGGGAGAAAGGGAGAGGAATCAGCAAAACCACTTAGGAGCTTGCTCTCTTACCATTGGAAAGGGAGAATGTTTTCTTCTCTATCTACTCTTCCTTTGGGAGTAATAATGGGGGGATGTATCTCAAATTTGAGACACATCTGTAGTTTGGTTACAGGCTCTGCAGGGTATCATTTTATTAGTTCTGTACAATGAAACTATTATCTTAGTACAAGTTGCCATTTTAAGACCTGTGAAAAAATAAAAATATTGAGAAAAATCAGTCTGAATACTTTAGTAAAGTATTCAGTAAAGTATTCAGTATTCATAAAATGCTCTATTTTTTAACTTAGAAGTTTTTTGCTTAGACATATTTACAGCAGACACAGAGCAATTTTAGCTCTTTATTTTCTACTTTGTATATGATGATTTGCTTTGCATAGTGGATATTCAGTAATTGTTTTCTCGTTACTCTTACCACATCATTAGAGTTGAGTTCATTTTCACCAAGTCATGTTTTAGAAGAATCCTCTAAAAATAGAGCTACATATTTAGATCTCTTAGATCTAGATCTTAGAAGCTTCTCTCTCTCTTTTTTTAACTGGGACAGACAGATACCTTACTATTTATTTGCTAGCTAGATAAAGCACGTAGTGTTTTCAGAACAATGCCAGTATCTTATTGACCTTGCCTTCCATAATTTCTATTTTCTCTTGCTGAAGTTTTTACAAAAATTCTCTGCCATTGAATGAAAGTTATGAAGGATTAAGAATAGTAAAAACATTCAGGTACTAAAGTATGTTCTATTATAGGAAACTGATTTTTTACTAGAGGCAATTGTCGGATGCCTATTGCATAGACTAATTTACTAGCTTATATAGCATCATTCTGAAGGAAAAAACAGCACTGGTTTCCGTTTATTGAATATTTACTATGTGCCAGACACTGTGTTAAGTACATTGATGATCTCATTTAATTCTCATAACAATTCTAGAAGATAGGTATTTACTTATGAACAAGTAAAACTCAAATGTTTAAGTAACTTCCTCATGGTTTATAATATCAGTCAGAATTTGAATCCAATTTATTGATTTCCAAACCCATATCCTATACTATAAGGAGAGAAATGAACATAATTTCCCATTCACTCCAGAATATGAATATTTGTTTCTTAGAAGAGCAGACTTTTATTGACCATGTCCAGCCATTTTAATTGAAGACATATAACATGTGACTCTTACCAGTACAGTTGAAAAATAACAATACCAAAGAATATGAGAGGTTGGTAAATACACAGTGAATGCTGCAATAGCTAGTCACTGCAACAGCGACTGTAGGGACTCACTAGCTTAGTTGTTGCACAAAGACCTGGAGTTGTCTTTGCTTACAGAGCACTTCATTTTCTTACCTGATGGTGCCATCAAGCTCCTTTCTCAGCCCTCAATTAAGCTTCCATTAGCATAGAATTTATAATGTGTCACCAGTCCAATATGCTTACAATTTGGACCCATGATGGCGACATTCAAAGCTTGGGAAATAATTGCTGTTAGTCAAGTTACAATTTTCCAGGAGGAATTTGTATTTTAGTCTTCCTTCACTTTAGATTTCTAAACAGCAGAGTAAAATTTACAAATGAGGGTTTTTGAGGAAAAGACTATCTTCTTGACTGAACCAAGTATGAAAATATTGTATGGCAGTGGACCACATATGTTAGGTAATTTTGAGTCCTTTCTAGGGATTTTAAATGTTATGAATTTTATTTTGGATAGGTAGGTGTAGGGTAAAGAAAATGTCAGGCTTTTCTGCCCTCCCGCCATCAGGATAGATGATGGATCCTTGAGGTCCTGAGTGCATGCCTTTGGCGGGCACCTGCCAGCCTTCCAACCCCCCAGCACACCTGCCTGCTGTGTAACTGGTAACCCCAATAAAAGACCTGCAAAAAACCACTGAGGACTCTGACTCCTCCTTTACCCGGTCTGCATGGGATCAGAAAACCTGCACTGTATCATTCATGCCCTTACAGTAGGATTATATTAATTTGTGTTTAAAATGCATGGTGAGACTTTCTCTTATTAGAACTCAACTAATTTACAAAAAGAGTATAATTCCTTTAGAGAGGAAACTACTCCAATTTCACAAATTTGAAAGTAAAACTGCCTTTGAGTTAATAAGGGCAGAAGCCACAGGCATTCACATTTTAAGTTATCGCTTTTATACAGCACTAGCAATATCTTGTGTTGCAGATCTTAAAAATTAAAGTTTGATAAAATGTGTGTATAAACATCTTCATTCTCTGGTTCATTTTATAACTATAGCAACACCTCTCAGTCCCAAGTTACTCAACATTTGGAAAGGATTAGTGTTTAAGCTCTGAAAGAGTTGGCCTATTCCTTGATTTTCTGTGTATTGAATGACCCATAGCGTTTGCCAGATATTCTGACCTACAGATAAAATTGATGAAAGTCAGAGCTGGGGTTTTCCTACCTGTGTCCTATCAGTCTTCCCCTAAGCCACAGTCTGCCTTTTGATGGCTCTAATAACTAATTTGGTCCTCTTCTCCCTCCCACCCCCCTTCTCCTTGTCTGTTCACAGGTTATCTTGACGAATCAAATTACAACCCATCTGAGTGGAGCCCTCGCCTCTCAGGCAGACCTGGTGTCTCCAGCTGATGATTTGTCCCTGTCTGAAGGTAAGGGATCTGTCCTAAAGGGGCTGAAACTTGACACTGACGCAGAGCCCCACTGCCTCCGGTTGAGAGGTGGGAGAGCCAGCTAACAAGCCCTGGCCAGTGAACCCAGGCCGGAACCTGCCGATTTTGGCTTGGCCAACTTTCCTGGCATCTGATCTCCTACACTTGGACAGTCTTTGTAAGGAGCTTCCTTTTTCACTTGACTGAGTCATCTTCACAGGCATCCCACCGCCTTCATCTTGGGGCTTGTCACTCCTCTGTGGGTTGTTTTGGCTTCTTAGTATGAGGGCTGGTAAACTGCTAAGTGACTGTTTGTGAGACCGATGGTCAACGCTTGGCTTTGCCTGTGGTTCCATAGCAATTTGGCCATTTGTTTTGCTGGGTACTTTTGAACTGGCTAAAAGTGCACACCAGTATCATGTGCCAGGGATGTAGCATTCCCGATCTGCTTTACAGAAATATTAAGAAAAATTCTCCATGCTGGTAAATTTTCTCCACCTCCTCCTGCTAGCAAAGGTCAGGTTGGCTGTGATTTTCGAAGCTAGGGGAATTACACTGCTGAGCAGTGGGTGGTTTCTAGTTTTACTGAAAGTTCTTACTTGACATTTCTGAGTTCTGCTAGCTGTAGTCTACTTGCTTTCAGGGCAGAATATTGTGGCTGGGGTGAATGTTTATAGTTGTTTCTGACCCCTCTGCTCTTTTCATTTTCTCAGAATTATTCATGAGGGGATCTATGGAACTTGTAAGCCTAGCCAGGCTGCCCAAGGTGGTATTCCATGGATAGACCTGGGTACCTGGTCTCAAAAACAGCAAGGACACTCCTGCTTCTCAGTGGTATTTTTCAGAGTGGAAACTATTTTTTTTACAAAAAACTGTAAAATCCTCAGCATACCCTAATTCGCACATTCAGTGCATTATTACTTTCCCATCACCTGGATTGAAAACGTGAACCATCTACTACTGCACTCCTTTCATTGTCAAGTCTACTTGCTTTTTCTTTCCACATACTTTTTTGCTTGGTCTCCCTTTTTTTGTAATTTGTAGTGTGGTTAACTGACTTATTAAACTCACCTGCACTATATTAGTAAATTTCAAAATGACCTTCCCCCTCCCGGCATCCTTTACCTTTTCCAGTCTACCACTACCAATTTAAAGTCTTCACTTTCGTCTTCCTTTTACTGTCTTTCTACTACTCAGAAATCTAGTTGTTTTTTTGTTTGTTTGTTTGTTTGTTTTTAGTCCATTTCTGAGAACAGGCTACCATCAATAAACTTATGTTAAGATATCCAGGAATTTGCAGTTTGTTAGTTTGAAATCAGCCAGGGTAGGCATCTTTAGACCATGGAAATCAGCTAATACTAAAGCCAGACTTTTTCCTTTTCTTTTCTTTTGCATGGGTCAGTTTCCCAAAACACCACTAGAGAAGAAAATTAATGCTTTTTAACTCTTTAGTCTTTTCCTTCCCCCCCTATCCTATAATGGTTCTTGCCAATACCTTAGGTGAAACACACACAGCAGGCCTGCCTGCCACCTCCCATCCTACCTCCCTGTCTCAGCAGACACAGCTTGTAGGGAAAGTGGAGTTAAATTAGGCTTTTTTCTGCCTTCCAGTCACTGGCCTCTATGGCTGCCACCTGTGGTCTTGCTTTACGCCTGGGTTTAATGGCCCACACGTGGAAACGTGTTGCACAAAATGTTTGGGAGCATGAGCAGGAGGCCCCGTGCCTGTAATTGTGGATACCTGCTCCAAGAAGCTGGGGAGCACAAGGCATGCATACCTATAAGTACGTGTATGGGCAGGAAGGGACAGTGCAGGATCTCTATGATTGGAGCAGATGGGGTAAGGAGGAGTCCTGGAGCCCTCAGTGGCTTTTGAAGGCTTTTATTGGGATTTACCAGGTACACAGCAGGCAGGGGGGCCGGGGGGCCGGGAGGCTGGCAGGCTACCCAGCCCACAGCAAATCTTGACTCTTCCTGGTTCTTCTGGTGATTCTGCTTCTATTTTGCTCTCTTTCGCTCTTTTCTCTCTGCTTCTGCAGGCATCCCCATGACGCCGCCCTTATAAGCCCAGTCTTAGCCCAGGTGAATCCCATCTACCTATGCCCACACCCTATTCCAGGTGCCCGCCATCAGGCATGCATTCAGGACCGCAAGGATCCATCATCTATCCTAATGGCGGGAGGGCAGAAAAGCCTGATACCTTTTCACTTACCCTACAGTATGGAAGCCCAGGAGAGATCACTGGACTAGGCGAAATGAGGCAAGGTGAGAGGGAGACCAAGAGAGAACACCAGAGAAAAGAGAGCTCAGAGATCATGGTGGCTGGGAGGCTTGGTTGCTGCCAGCCTCCTGGCACCCCAGCCTCTCTGCATGCCAGCCTCCCTGCTTGTGCCAGTGTACTCAGTTCTCTGCTCAGCATTAAAGGCCTGTAAAATCTATTGAGGGCTCCAAGATCCTTTCCTGTTCTGTGGGAATTGACAGTGAACCTGCCCAGTCTGGAGTGGTTGCACTACACTGCTCATGCTGTATCAAAAAGGTTGCCCAGTCTCACTTTTTTTTTTAAGATTTATTTATTTATGCATACAAGAACTGGGGTACAGGCCAGAGGTGTGAGGGTGAGAGGATTCACCAGAGACAGAGTGGAGAACAGAACAGGCCGACTGACTGAAATATACTGCTGAGGGGAGCAGCGGGCGAGTCAGGAGAGGTCTGCTGTGCCATGTGGGTCTCCTCCCTGGCTGGGGATCAAACTTATGCTGCAGTAGCTGTGGATAGCTTCATAGGTTGTGTCTTAACCCCTTGTGCCATCAGGGAGGCCCCCAGTCTCTTTTCCACTGCTTTTCTTCCCAAATCCTCTCAGTCCTTCGAGGTTTATTTAAAAACCACCTCTTCTACAAAACCTCCTGCATGTTCCAGTCTGCACTGGTCTCAGTCTTCCTCTTCTGTGGCCTGCTGACTACCTGCTCAACTATATAAAGAAAGGGTCTAGAAAAATTAATACAACTTGTCACATTTTCCCAACTAGATTGGCAGATTTTCAAGGGCCGACTACTCTTTATTTTTTTTGTATCCATCCTGTGTTCTAGCAGCTAGCAAAGTTCTAGGCACATAGTTGTCAGTAAATAAATGCTACACCAATACTGTAGTAAATACTTTGTATGAATAGTAACCATGAGAATCACATAAAGCACCTATAAACATGGTTAAAAACTGTGGTAATAATTATTATACACACACACACATTGATTCAGTTCTGAGGAGATCAGGAGAGAATATCTTGTTTCCTTTCTGAAAACCAATTAAGAACACTTCTTTGTCCTGGTTTCCTGGTTTATCTTAAGCAGAGGAGTAAAACAGATACAGAGGAAATTGCTTTGGGCTTGGTAAAATTGTGTTCATGACAAAGAAAGTTACCAGCTCATCCTTAGACAACATTTCCTTACTAGGAAATGTAAGCGGGAGTGGAAACTGATTTTTCCAGATCTTTTCCTTGTATAACTAAGCAGGTAAAGAGGCTATGAGACATTTTTCCTGACGTTTCCAATGAAGTTCTTTACAAATGAATTAAAGTGTTCAAATCTTGGAACATTTATACCTATTCAAATATTTTACAGTAGTTGTTAATGTTACTGTGATTAATGTGTATAAATTGCTTTGTTGTCATTTTAAACACTTGTTGTATTAGCTTTGCTGTTGTGTTATTAACTCTGATCTTGAGCAGATTTTTTAGTCACTTTGGACCTGGGGGAGGGGCTTGGGGAGGGGAGGGGTGTGTGTGTGTGTATGTGTGTGTGTGTGTGTGTGTGTGTTTAAATGGCAGGTTGGATGAAAAGATTGCTAAAGTCTTTTTCTGACTCTAACATAAGAACACGCCATGGCCCTGAAGATCAGGAGCATTCACTCATTGATGGGTTTTTTTAAATTCTGATTTACAGCATGGGCAGAACGATGGTATTGCCCTTTGTCTTTATTAGCATACCTACAACAGCATCCGCTCCCTGTATTGCTCCCTCTCGCTCTGTACACACTTCTGGTCTTGTCTGTGTGTCCCTTGCTCGGTCTTCTTCTCTCCTCTAAGAAATGGATGCAAATCATTGAGAGTGAGAAAGACTGGGGCGAGGACAAGGTCCACCCTGTCCTGTAATAGATTTCAGCTGCAGAGCAGAGGGCACTGCTTAAACTGCACCCTTGAAAACAGTTACGTGGTGAGAACAAGTGGCCTAGAGCAGCCAGCAATAAATGATCTGAGTTGACCTGAGAGAAGTACCCAGCAGGGGCCGATTCAGGGAAATGAAGTCCCTTCTGCTCTGATGCAGAGAAGGGAATACAAGTGACCTGGCCCAACTGAGATCTCTTCCACCCCAACGGATCCTGTACTATTAATATCTGCCAGCTGCAGGCCCAGAGCATCCCCCTGCTGAGATCAAAAGAGCCCCTATCTTAGCTGGAACAAGGTCATCTGCACAGAGCTGTAAAAGCGAGCCCTGCCTGGCTGCAGGGACCTTTATGGGGGAGGAGAAGTCAGGAGATGGGGAGGTGCTCTCTCACGCTCCTTTAATCTCGGCTGACCAGCTGTTGCCCTCCCAGTGTTTGTAAAGTTGAGAGTTCTTTGTTTTTGTGTTGCTGGGTTTTTCTTTTTTCCTTATTAATTTGTGGCTGGGTTGTTGCTTGGATTATCTAGACCCATGTTCACTGCTTGGGTCCGTGGTATGATTCGCTTCATTGAGGGTTCATTCCACTGTTGAATTAGTCAGCCTCCAGGTGGGAGAGCTGAAGAAGGGAGCAGTGGACCCCAAAGGCCAAGGACTCTCCCCGCCCAGCTCCTGTCCCAGAGCTGTGTGCTTTGAGAAGGAATGAGAAAGCAAAGTAAAGTTTCCTTATTTAGTTAAAAGAACTCCTGATATGTCCAATGTGCTTGTCAATTTCCAGCTTGCCTTTCACAAATGTTGTTTCATTCATTTGGGAGAATGGAAATTTTAGGACTAGCAACTTGACCAAAA